TTTTGTTAATGCGAAGACAGTACTTCTGTATTTCCTGATGTGTTGCACTCACTGACAATCTAGCGGATTTTTCCAACTATGCACAGGAATGATTGTACATAAGTGAAAAGGCTGTTTTATATTATTGGGATTGAGATTTATCAAGTGCATGTATAACCTTCAGCGCACTTGTAAAACATAATTTGCTATCGACTGTAAATTGCGACTGAATAATATGGTTTTATTTCTGTAACAATTTGATGATGCCTGTAAACTGGCGTCCCTCATGTACTGTAATATGAGAATAAATTTATTTATATTTATTTATTTATTTCTATTACATGTATTTGTAGTTGATTCGATAAACAAAGCTTCTGTTATCAATCCCTCCTTATAACCTGTGACATTAGAGTTTAGTGTTCCTGTACGAAGACTTATCAGTAAACTCACTCGACTTTCACAAACTGAAGCAAGATATGAAAATCATCGTATTTTCAACATTCGATGGTTAAAAAATGAAATCATTCCTAAATGTCTACGTCTACAAGCTCCAGTTTCAACAGAGAGAGTTAGAAGCAGAATAGAAAGCTTGAATGAATGCCTGAAAGAAGAGATCCACAGAATCGTTAAAAAGTTGCAACATATCAGATGTGAAATTGAGAAATTAAAACAAAAGCTAAAAGGAATAGTTGTCAATGTAGATTATGATCTTATAACACAATCCTCCAAAAACGCGAAATCAGCAACTTCAAAAGGCCAAGAAATAGTCAAATCAAAAAGTTCAAGAAATTATAAGAGGCGAAATCTTCATCTCAGAATGACGGAGTCAGCAATCTAAAGTCGACGGCGATCGATAAACCAAAGTGGGTTATCAATCTCTCATCAGATATATTAAGTCCTCCGGAAATAAGTGTATTAGAAAAAGGGACTAAACTTCAATTTGGTGGTGGACAAGCTGAAACCTGAGGATGTCATCCCTAAAATAGAAATAGCACTAAATGGGGTAGACAAAACAACAGCTGAAGAATTACATGCACAATGTGGACTTACTTTAAAAACCACAAAAATGTGGAAAGCCTAACCTGATAAAACAAGAGATAGAAACCCTGAAACACCTTAAGAATAACAAGGATATAGTTATCACAAAGTCAGACAAAGGAAATGCAACAGTAGTATTGGACAAATCAGACTATTTGGACAAGGTAAATACTCACATACAAACAAGACCATATGAGAAAATTAATAATTCAATAGACACAGTTATGAATAAGGTTAAGAAATCCACAGCGGACCTTATATGCCGAATAAAGCCGTTTCTAGGTGAGTCTAAGTGGTTTAATTTAATGCTAAAAACTAATAACCCCAGTAGGATGTATGGTGTTGTTAAAGTTCATAAGTCAGGATACATTATTACAGCTATAGTTGATTTTAGAAATTTACCTACTTATGAATTATCTACATATTTAGCCATGGTATTAAATCCCCTAAAAGGCCACTCGAAATCTAGACTAACTAATTCTTATGAACTAAAACACAGATTAGATAACTTAAAATTAGATAATGAAGAGAAAATGGTAAGTTTTGTCATCGTTAGTTTATATACACGTATACCAATAAATATGGCTATAGAGGCAGTCAGAAACGAACTCATCTCTGAACAAGAACACGAACGTAGGACAAAAGTGCCACTTGAAGACATAATGCTGAGAGCGCAGCTTTGCCTGACTTCCACAGTATTTAAATTCCAAGGGAAAATATACAAACAAACTGAGGGAGTTGCCATGGGATCACCAGTATCCCCGGTTGTAGCAGATGTATTTGTAGTGTACATTGTACCCTTGAACTTTTGCTTAAACTCACTCACCCATGTTTGATACACTTTTATCTTTTGAGTTGTGACTCTTCCGTACGTTCATTGGTTCGCTCTCTCGTTGTGCTTTCATTCTGCACACTCTCCGAGCCTACTTCCAGTGACGTCTCCAGATAAGTTGTACAACCTCTTTATTTATTGAATTTCATATTTCGTTGTGTAAAATATAATTCTCCCAGATACACTTGTCATACCAAGTCCTTTGACCTTGATTCAGTTCGTCAGTATTTGCATGTTGAGTAGCGTACAGCTAAGGTAGTAAAACGGTGAAGAAGATTTGTAAGAGTGTTTAGAGTTGAGGCCTACCCTAAGCCTTAATAGCTCTTATACATTCATGGATAGGTGGGAAGAGATGGCAATCGAAACGTTTACCCCCACCCTAAAAGTATGGTGAAGGTATGTAGATGGCACATTCACTGAAATCAGAACACAAGATAGAGATAGATTTTTCGAACGCATCAACTGGAAGGTGGAGGCAATTCAATTCACTTCTGAATTGGAAAGTGAGGAAGGGAAGCCCCTAGTGTTAGATTGCAACGTAGATCATCCCATCCTATGTCAGTAAAAATAGGTGTCAGCCAGGTCTAGTAAACCGTCAATGCCCAGCTCTGGCTATGCTGGGACTCACGCTGTTCATTGAAGTTTCTCAGAAACGATTAGTAATAACGGACGAAAAAACCAAAACACCAATTGGCGACTCAAGGATTCTTTATTGTTACACCAACATATATCCAACTTTAAAATTAAGCTTTAACTAAGGTCTATGAACAAATATTACAATAATAAATCACAATATTAATTCTGACAGCTTTGGTCTGACCTCTTTCTGAACAGCGACCGATGAGACGATGACTGCTGCATTGATGACCCCCGCGAAAAATATGGAGGAGTTGTGTTTGAGCAAACAACCATGAATTGATCGTTCAATCTTCAACTCCATTAACACTCCCCGAGAAAAAAGGGATCCAACCCATTTTCCTTCACGACAAATACACGTTGACTTGGATGCCATTGCGAGAACCTGGGTCACACGGACAGAGCTGAAATGGAAAACAAACAGAAAAGCCAACACACCACAGGCATACTCACAGTAAAATCATACTCAACGATGAGGACATACGCCTCCGAATTGAAGGTATCCTCTTGACATCTTGTAACACAATCGCCACTTGCTAGAATGACTCTTGCAGAACGCAACGTGACCATAGCACCGACTCATGATACACTTCGCACATCCTCTTATCTACTCACTACCAATTACCACTGCAATCGCTTGTCACTCATTCTGCCTCAGTTCTAGTAGCGGTGACGTATGCGAGCCTCAGTCGTTTACACTCTTGCTCCACAGCGTGTGGGACCGAAGCTAACAATTATCTCCGTTTGCATGTCACTCAGCAATAGCCTCCCCGGCGTATACGACCCATCTGCTGTCTTTAACACCAATCAATTCATTCACGGATGTAGAAGGCTCGAAACAACTTCAGAAGTAATCACTACGAAAGTTTTAACAAAATTATGCAATACAACAAGGTACGAAAACAACGAGTAAACCCAGTGAGTCAAAAAATTGATATGACACACCACACGTATATACAAGCAGTACAAGTAACCTCGCCGATCGTGTCTCGATGGAATTTCTTCGAAGAGTTGCAGGACTTACACCAGTACGCCTGCAACCCTTCTCAGGTTGACGATTGTGGAATATCCGAACACAAACAATATTAACCAACAATTGCATTAATTGGAACCCACACAATTAATCAACACAAACATATGTACAATCAACACATCAAATGTTGTGGATTCTGCCTTGACAAACTACCCTTGAAGAACTGTAGGACTTACAGCAGTACGCCTACATTCCTTCTCAGGTTGACGCTCTAGGTTGGAAAATCGTCGCAGAGTTTATTTGCTGACCTCCCTCCACCATCTATAGCCTCAACTCTGAAGGGTTACACACCCATATCATTGTATTGTAGAATATAGATGATTAACAAACGCACGACGTATCTGACCAACCAAGCGTAGGCACATAGCAATCTACACCAAAGATAATAACATTCAAATAGTAATTTGAAACTTGAAATGCCTTTATTCGTGCAAGTCAGTTTAACAATTACCCTCTCATACACCGTTGGCTTATCCTCACTAGACTGAGCGATATCTTTCGTCTTTTCAAACGCACCAATACTATCATAGTAATTGCATAAGGCGCGTGAGTTGATGGGCGTCCATTTCATCGTGGATGACAACACCAACGACGACTGAGTGACACAAGGTGATGAACTTAGCGGTGCATCAGAAGCTGTTGTTGTTCGGCTTTCAGATAGTTGTCCGAATGCAAGATTACCACCACTGTTGTCTTTTACTATCAGCTCCGATTTAGCACTAGCATCTGATGATAGGTGGGCTACACACTGATCAATTACACTGACTGTCTCACAAGTATCCCTACCTTCTGCAACTGCATCTGCATTTAATTCTACTTCACGTTGTAGTTGTACAGAACCTTTATTCACCTTAGCAGTAGTAGGCATTCCCCTCATTTCATCATGATCAACCAAAGACAAATCTGCACTATCATGATCATTATCACAAATGTTCAATTTACCATCATCTATCTGGTCGAATTCATCATTTTCAAACTCTTTGTTAACAGAAGTAGACAATTTTGATTCCTCCTCACAAATCATTAGAGGTTATATACCTCCACTCTGACTAGTAATACCTTGGCAACTTGTGGAGTCAGAACTGTCCTCTGAGACTGTAACTCTCTTCTGTGGCATACTATTCAACAATGGCTTACTAATTGCAACTACAGGCTCCTTCACCGCGCTATTATCGTCACACAATTCGGAGTCAGACCTTGATTTCACACTTAGCTTATCACTAAACTTGCTCACTGATTCACAGCTCACCTTTGTATGCGCCTCTTGCAAACGTGTAAAACACAACCGTGTTTGTCTTGCATCTTGTAACTTATCTGTTGAGGATGTACCACGAAACTTGTTACACTCCCTTAGTTTATATGGATTACTAGACACCATAAAGCTTTCTCGATATCCACTTCTCTGAGGCCCTTTCGTAATCAATGATTGCGATTTGCTTTCAGACTGCTCTATTCTAGGGGTGGGATGTAATAGACTGGCGAACTTGCCCATAGATTCATTGACACTATCGTTTACCAGTTACAGAATATCATCAAACTTTGGCTCGATACCTTCATCCTCTATACGAGAGCTTATCTTCACCCACTTCCTTTGCAGTCGAGTAGGTAGGCGTCTCGCTATTATCTCCAGGACTGAACTTGAGTTCAGATCACTCATGCAATTCATCGAAATCAATGTATTCTTGTAGGTCATCAGATTATCCAAAAACTCAGAGAGTGCCTTGGAGTCATCTTGCAATTGACTACCATTACCTTTAACGGTTTCAAACACATTCCTTACAATCATCGAAGGTCTTCCAAACCTTTGACGCAGGATACGTTTCGCCTCAGCATATCCTTCGTTTAGGGGCATAAGCTTATAGCACTGTATAGCTCTTGCATCATCTTCAGTGCAGTACCTCAACAAATATATTATCTTCGCTATAATGCTTCTCCTAATTTTTCTCTTTCTTCCACCGAACAGCGAACGATGGAACGATGACTGCAGTATCGATGACTCCCACCAAAATATGGAGCTGGGTTTGAGAAAACAACCATGAATTAATTGTCCATTCTGCAATAACATACTTGATCGTGCCTGTAAAAATGGCATGCATTTTCATGTAAATTTATGTTTATATGAAAATAAAATTATTATTATTATTATTGACAATTGGTGTACAACGTTGTGTCTTATCAAAATAAAATCTTATGCATAGTGGCCTTATACTCTACAATAGTGCCACAATTTTATACTTTATCCAGAATAATTATCTTGTGCGTTACATGTCTCTCAATTGCTTCATTTTCGTCTCCCTCATTGCAGGTTGTCAGTCTTCTTAGACATTCCACTAGATGTCAACATACATAGTGTCTGCAAGCAGTCTTCCAATACACCCACTGTCAGGCACGTCTCGTAAACCGTTAATGCCCAGCTCTTGCTACGCTCGGGCTCACGCTGTTCCTTGAAGTTTCTCAGAAATGCTTAGCAATAACGGACGAAAAAGGCAAAACACCAATTGGCGACTCGAGGATTCTTTATTGTTACACCAACATATAAACAATGTTGTAACTAAGGTCTATGAACAAATATTACAATAATAAATCACAATATTACTTCTGACGGTTGTCTCCTGATTTCTTTCTGTACAGCGACCGATGAGACGATGACTGTCGTATTGATGCCTCGGCGAAAATTGGGGAAGTTGGTTTTGAGCAAACAACCATGAATTGATCGTTCAATCTTCAACTCCATTGACACTTTTCGGCAAAAAAGGATCTATTCCTGTTTTCCATCACGACCAATACATGTTGACTTGGATGCCATTGCGAGAACCTAAGTCACACGGACAGAGCTGAAATGGAAAACAAACAGAAAAGCCAACACACCACAAGCATACCCACAGCACAATCTCACACATCGCTGACGACCTGCGCCTCCAGACAGAGACCTCCTCTTGACATCTTGCAACACAATCGCCACTTGCTAGAATGACTCTTGCAGAATGCAACGTGACCATAGCACCGACTCATGATACACTTCGCACATCCTCTTATCTACTCACTACCAATTACCACTGCAATCGCTTGTCACTCATTCTGCCTCAGTTCTAGTAGCGGTGACGCATGCGAGCCTCAGTCGTTTACACTCTTTCTCCCCGGCGTGTCGGACCGCAGCTAACAATTATCTCCGTGTGCATTTCATTCTCAACAATAGCCTCCCCGGCGTATACGACCCATCTGCTGTCCTTAACATCAATCAATTCATTCATGGATGTAGAAGACTCGAAACAACTTCAGAAGAAATCACGACGAAAATTTTAACAAAATTACGCAATACAACAAAGTACGAAAACGACAGGTAAACACAATGAATCCAAAACACCACGAATTGATATGACACACCACACATATATACAAACAGTACACGAAAACTCGCGGATCATGTCTTGGTGGAATTCATTTGAAGAATCGCAGAACTTACACCAGTACGCCTACAACCCTTCAAAGGTTGAGGATTGTCAGTTGTGGAATGTCCAGACACAAACAAGATTAACCAACAATTACAATAATTGGAACTCACACAAATATATAACACAAACATATGTACAATCACTACATCAAATATTGTGGATTCCGGCATGCCAAACTACCCTTGAAGAACTGTAGGACTTACACCAGTACGCCTACAACCCTTCAAAGGTTGAGGATTGTCAGTTGTGGTATGTCCGGACACAAACAAGATTAACCAACAATTACAATAATTGGAACTCACACAACTATTTAACACAAACATATGTACAATAACTACATCAAATATTGTGGATTCCGGCATGCCAAACTACCCTTGAAGAACTGTAGGACTTACAGCAGTACGCCTACAACCCTTCAAAGGTTGAGGATTGTCAGTTGTGGAATGTCCGGACACAAACAAGATTAACCAACAATTACAATAATTGGAACTCACACAACTATTTGACACAAACATATGTACAATCACTACATCAAATATTGTGGATTCCGGCATGCCAAACTACCCTTGAAGAACTGTAGGACTTACAGCAGTACGCCTACAACCCTTCTCAGGTTGACGCTCTAGGTTGGAAAATCGTCGCAGAGTTCATTTGCTAACTTCCTTCTATGAGCTATATCCTCAAATCTGAACGGCAACACGCCCATGTCATTGTATCGTAGAATATAGATGACCAACAAACACACGACATATCTCATCAACCAAGTGTAGAAACAGACTAATTTACACCAAAGATAATAACATTCAAATAGTAACTTGAAACTAGAAATGCCTTGGTTCATGCAAGTCAATTTAACAATTACTCTCATTTACACTTGGCTTATTCTCACTAAACTGAGCGATATCTTTCGTCTTTTCAAACGCACCAATACTATCATAGTAATTGCATAAGGCACGTGAGTTGATGGGCGTCCATTTCATCGTGGATGACAACACCAACGACGACTGAGTGACACAAGGTGATGAACTTAGCGGTGCATCAGAAGCTGTTGTTGTTCGGCTTTCAGATAGTTGTCCGAATGCAAGATTACCACCACTGTTGTCTTTTATTATCAGCTCTGGTTTAGCACTACCATCTGATGATAGGTGGGCTACACGCTGATCAATTACACTGACTGTCTCACAAGTATCCCTACCTTCTGGAACTGCATCTGCGTTCAATTCTACTTCACGTTGTAGTTGTGCAGAACCTTTATTTAACTTAGCAGTAGTAGGCATATCCATCATCTCATAATGATCAACCAAAGACAAATGTGAAGTATCATGATCACTATCATGAATATTCACTTTACCATCAAGTTCATCATTTTCAAACTCTTTGTTAACAGAAGTAGACAGTTTTGATTCCTCCTCACAAATCATTAAAGGTTTTATATCTTCACTCTGACTAGTAATACCTTGAAAACTTGTGGAGTCAGAACTGCACTCTGAAGCAGTAAATCTATTCTGTGACACTCTATTCAACAATGGCTTACCAGTTGCAACTACAGACTTCTTGACTGCACCGTTATCGTCACACAATTCGGAGTCAGGCCTGGAGTTTACATTTAGCTTATCACTGAACTTGCTCACTGGTTCACAGCTCACCTTTGTATGCGCCTCTTGCAAACGTGTAAAACACAACCGTGTTTGTCTTGCATCTTGTAACTTATCTGTTGAGGATGTACTACGAAACCTGTTACACTCACTAGGTCTATATGCATTACTATACATCATGGAGCCTTCTCGATATCCACCTCTCTGAGGCCCTTTCGTCATCAATGATTGCATTTTGCTCTCAGACTGCTCTATTCTAGGGGTGAGATGTAATAGACTGGCGAACTTGCTCATAGATTGATTGACACTATCCTTTACTAGTTTCAGGATATCATCAAATTTTGGCTCGATACCCTCATCCTCCATACGGGAGCTTATCTTCACCCACTTCCTTTGCAGTCGAGTAGGTAGGCGTCTCGCTATTATCTCCAGGACTGAACTTGAGTTCAGATCACTCATGCAATTCATCGAAATCAATGTATTCTTGTAGGTCATCAGATTATCCAAAAACTCAGAGAGTGCCTTGGAGTCATCTTGCAATTGACTACCATTACCTTTGACGGTTTCAAACACATTCCTTACAATCATCGAAGGTCTTCCAAACCTTTGACGCAGGATACGTTTCGCCTCAGCATATCCTTCGTTTAGGGGCATAAGCTTGTAGCACTGTATAGCTCTTGCATCATCTTCAGTGCAGTACCTCAACAAATATATTATCTTCGCTATAATGCTTCTCCTAATTTTTCTCTTTCTTCCACCGAACAGCGAACGATGGAACGATGACTGCAGTATCGATGACTCCCACCAAAATATGGAGCTGGGTTTGAGAAAACAACCATGAATTAATTGTCCATTCTGCAATAACATACTTGATCGTGCCTGTAAAAATGGCATGCATTTTCATGTAAATTTATGTTTATATGAAAATAAAATTATTATTATTATTATTGACAATTGGTGTACAACGTTGTGTCTTATCAAAATAAAATCTTATGCATAGTGGCCTTATACTCTACAATAGTGCCACAATTTTATACTTTATCCAGAATAATTATCTTGTGCGTTACATGTCTCTCAATTGCTTCATTTTCGTCTCCCTCATTGCAGGTTGTCAGTCTTCTTAGACATTCCACTAGATGTCAACATACATAGTGTCTGCAAGCAGTCTTCCAATACACCCACTGTCAGGCACGTCTCGTAAACCGTTAATGCCCAGCTCTTGCTACGCTCGGGCTCACGCTGTTCCTTGAAGTTTCTCAGAAATGCTTAGCAATAACGGACGAAAAAAGCAAAACACCAATTGGCGACTCGAGGATTCTTTATTGTTACACCAACATATAAACAATGTTGTAACTAAGGTCTATGAACAAATATTACAATAATAAATCACAATATTACTTCTGACGGTTGTCTCCTGATTTCTTTCTGTACAGCGACCGATGAGACGATGACTGTCGTATTGATGCCTCGGCGAAAATTGGGGAAGTTGGTTTTGAGCAAACAACCATGAATTGATCGTTCAATCTTCAACTCCATTGACACTTTTCGGCAAAAAAGGATCTATTCCTGTTTTCCATCACGACCAATACATGTTGACTTGGATGCCATTGCGAGAACCTAAGTCACACGGACAGAGCTGAAATGGAAAACAAACAGAAAAGCCAACACACCACAAGCATACCCACAGCACAATCTCACACATCGCTGACGACCTGCGCCTCCAGACAGAGACCTCCTCTTGACATCTTGCAACACAATCGCCACTTGCTAGAATGACTCTTGCAGAATGCAACGTGACCATAGCACCGACTCATGATACACTTCGCACATCCTCTTATCTACTCACTACCAATTACCACTGCAATCGCTTGTCACTCATTCTGCCTCAGTTCTAGTAGCGGTGACGCATGCGAGCCTCAGTCGTTTACACTCTTTCTCCCCGGCGTGTCGGACCGCAGCTAACAATTATCTCCGTGTGCATTTCATTCTCAACAATAGCCTCCCCGGCGTATACGACCCATCTGCTGTCCTTAACATCAATCAATTCATTCATGGATGTAGAAGACTCGAAACAACTTCAGAAGAAATCACGACGAAAATTTTAACAAAATTACGCAATACAACAAAGT